TACCTGGCGGCCGTGCTGGAGTACCTGACGGCCGAGATCCTGGAGCTGGCGGGCAACGCGGCCCGCGACAACAAGAAGACGCGCATCATCCCCCGGCACCTGCAGCTGGCCATCCGCAACGACGAGGAGCTCAACAAGCTGCTGGGCAAGGTGACCATCGCGCAGGGCGGGGTGCTGCCCAACATCCAGGCCGTGCTGCTGCCCAAGAAGACCGACAGCCATAAGGCTAAAGCCAAGTAAACGCATCTAGGACTAATCAGGAAGCAAAATGGACCAAAAAAAAAAAAGGCTCTTTTCAGAGCCACCCACAGTGGTCATAAGGGACTGAGTCACTCTTTGCTTTCGGTTTTTCTAGGGAATGCGGACACAAAACATGTAAACTGTTTTTCCTTAAAGTGTTTACCTTAACTATGCTGTTTTCTCTGCCTGCTGAAGTTTTTTTTAGGGAGGTTGTTTTATTAATGCTAAATGTTACTTTTAAAAAATTTGGGACTGATCTACTGAGGTATTCAATGTACTTGTTTGTTCCTCTTTTTAGAATTACTTTCTATTTTTTTAATAAATCTTTTTATGCCTTAAGAAAACCTGGACATTCTAAACACGTCAGTAGTGGCACGTGTTTTTATACAATACTAGAGTAAACATTGCATTGCCTAGTAAGAGAATTCTGGCTTTGTTGTAGGTGTTCTTGCAGTATTTATTGGAGGATGATATAAACCAAAGTATTCATATCAGTCTAGATTATTTCTGTTCTGTTGGAAACTATTAAAGAGTAGCCGATCGCTGTCACAACTTTGGGCAATGCAGTTTTCAAATTTAGAGAGAAGGGGAGGATGGGGAAGCAAAGAACACACAAGAAATAAAACCCTGAAGAAATGATGTGGTCCTGGCAGTAACCCTGAACCAATTATTTCACAACAGGAGGGATGTTCCCTCCCTCAGGCTGCTTGTTGACTTCTATTTTTCGCTGCATTTTAATGCTGTTGTGAGAGAGTCCTGCTGGCTTTCCTTGGCAGAATTAACTCTGCAGAACACTAGGGAAGGATTTCGGGCAGGGTTACCGGAGTTCTCAGCTCGCTGCCTGATGTGACGTGCCACCACACTGACAGCCGCTGCCGTATGTCTGGAAGAGCACTATCGCTTTTAACTTTGTTTTTCTGGCACTACTGACTGGATCGACCCCCTCTTCCGCATGAGGTGTGGGGAGTTTTGAGCTCCCACCTCATTTTGGGAGCAGGCAAGTGGCTCTTGGAAGAGCCGCTGCTGTTCCAGCAGGGCATAGTGTTGACTTAAAGTTTTCTCTGCTTTGATGTTGCCCTGGTTGCTTCCAATTTCCTTCTGGCTTTAGTGGGGCTCCTTGCTTCTTTGTTAGCCTCACAGTCTTGTGCCGGCTCTTGGCCGCAGGGGCCACCAGCTGCCTGACTTTCCTGGGGCTCTTTTGCGCTCTGTGGAGGCAGACACGGCCTTGGTGGTCAGCTCGGTGGCACTGGAGCAACAGGAGGGGTTTTCAGTAGGACCAGTTTTCCCCATCCCTGTCCTTCAGTATAGGGAAAAGAGAGATGTGGACTATTGTATCTGTGGACCTGGTGTTCACTGAGTTTAGCTTTCCTGAAATTGAGTCGGTAAGAAGTTCACTTCCCCCTTCTACAGGGGAGGGAAGTTTCCACTCCCTGCTGGGTCTGTCTTTGTTCTACATAATGAAACTGCCATCTGCATATCAGAAGCACTGGGAATTGTAGCAAAAATGGGGAAGAGTCCTGTGAACCCCCCGGGTATATGTGCATCACCTCAGTGTTGTGTGAGAGGATTTAAATTCTAGTCTCTAGACTGTAGAAACTTTCAAGAGGACAATCTTTTGGATTTCTTTCCCTCATAAATTGGTGCTCTGGTATCAGCAGTACAAATGCAATAGTACAGAAAATAAAGTCTTCATTATCATTCTCGTAGCTGTGCCTCTCATTTCCCTGTTGCAGAATGCGTTTAGGCAATATGTGGCTCTAGTTTCAAGTCGTCCATGTGGGTAACAAAGCCTTAAAAACCCGACGGGACTACGTGAGGTCTAAACCGTGAAGGGCCAAAAGGCCTCAAATGGATATTGTACAGCCAGACACGTTCGTGAAGTGCGGTTTACCCCAACTGGGCTAAGTGGGCAGACTGGTTTTGAAAACAGATGTATTTCTTAACAAGGCGAGTGTGAACACCCGCAGTCTCCTAAGCGGCACAGGCGGATTTCCCGGTTCGTTCTTTAACAACAGCTCGGGTTTCCAGCCGCTGAGCGGGGAGGAAGGTGCAAACGCCGGTGATCCAGAGACAAAGAGCGATCCGCCTCCGGGGCCCGGGTGACTGGGACCACCCTGCAGCCCTGAGGAGCCGGCGCTGCGGGCGGCCGGGCACAACAAAAGGCAGCGCAGCCTCCGCACCCCCCACCCCCGCGGATGGACGGCGGGGAGCCCCCAGCCCTCCGCA